GCTGGTTCCGCTATGCTGAACACTCACTCCACAAGAGCAATAGGGATCCTCTTAGTCAAAAAGCACAGATCCCTGTCCCTTGGGCAGAAGGAGACTCATCATTAGCCGTTACAAGTATAGGTCCTCTGACATGCAGTCATTCAGTTTAGTCTCTATGTAGGAGAAGGCATACTTAGCATGATAATATCATGAGGAACAATTATTGGCTAGAACATGCCCCTGGCTTTTAAACCTGGTTTTTGTTCCTCCTATGAGAAAATGTATGAGATTTTGGTTTCTGCTAATAGGTGATGGCAAACAAGCTCAAGTCCTTCTTTTCCATGAAATGGACAACCATCATGGCAATGGTGGTGTCCACTAAGAGAGGAGGGCAGAGATGCAGAAAAAAAGAATGGAAGACCAAGAAGTAATGACTGTACTTAGTACCCACCCAGGATTACCACCTAGCAAGGAAGTGGCAATGGCAGGCCACACAACAGAGCAGTGAGTTTGTTGTAGGAGTTTTAAGAGAAGTCAAGGAATGGTCACAGTCCATAGGGTAATAAGATAAAACAATTTGGGAAACTGACATAAAAAGGGTGTTGGGGCAGGAAATGTTTAGGCACATCACCCATCCTCTTGCTTCAAGTGTGGAGCCCAGCTCTTTGGTCCTTTTAGCTGTGGTAAATAGTTTATACTGGTTTATGTTTTCAACATCATGAGGAAACGGGCTAGAGACTGACTTTTCTTTGTAAACAAAAGCATTTCTATTGCTAGCTCCCACACATCAGTGCAGACCACAGTATTAGGAAGGCCAACAGCTGGCTCAGCATCCATCCCTCAAAATGAGTCCAAACCAACCCTTTTTTAGGGTTCAAAGAACTATAACCAACATTGTTTTCTCTGTGTTTTCATGCAGCTTTACGCTTCCATTTTCCAGCCAGGCCTGGAATTGTAAGTGTCCATAAACCACCAAAAAGGATGTTCCCATGGAATTTCTGGTCCAGTCAGACCTTTTGGCTTCGCTGAACACAACTATAAGGGTCAGGTAATCCTCTGACCATGTGGGTCATTAACCAACCCAACCTTCCCACTCTTTTGACATTTGCCCATGGCAGAGTATAAGTGCACAGAGCATATCAACCTCTGAGGATGGGGAGCAGCTTATCTATCAGAACTTTTAATCAGCTTGACATGCAAAATTATCAGCTTGTGCTAAATTACCATCTCAATAGGCATGTGGGACAGTGACACAGGAAAAATTCTCAGGATAGAGGCAGTTATATTTGGAGTAGAAAGGAGGATCGAGTGGGTGGGGCACAAGACTGGGACTCAGGAGACCTGGACTCAGCCACAGACTTTTTGGGTGAGTTTGGGCAAGTCAGTCAACCAATCTTGTGTCTCAGCTCCCAATCTGTAAAACAGAGATACCTGATGGGGAGTTGTGAGGATAAAATACATCAGTGACTGTGATTATGAGGGCCATATAAATATCTAGTGAGAGGCATTGATATAAACCAAGGACACCAGATACAGTTTTGTCCATTTCCTTTAATTTTAAAAAATGAGTAAGGAGACAAAACTTTGTGCCCTTCGAATACCAAATCGATTTTTTTGTGTGTGTGTAAACCAGTACATAAACCTTGGTGGTTGTTGGATTTCTGGATTTTGTTTTGTTTTTTTCCTCCATAATACTGCAAATACTCAGAAAAGTTTGTTTCTACTGCATATAAAAAAAAGTCATCACAATGACATAATTGCTTTTTTTCCTTCATATTTTGTTTAAAAAAAAGTTCACAAATACTAGTAGGAAATTTTCCCCCCACCCCTCCAAAAAAACCAAACCAAACAAAAAAAACCCAACCTCACACATCTTAAAAAACAAATCAGTAAAGTGTTAAATGGGTCAGGTATTACAAGCACACATTTACAAGCACATCACATTAGTAACACTGTATAATGCTTTAGACCATGCCGAACCATATGTATGTGTATAAAGCTATTGGTGAAATGGTTCATAGCAGCAGAGTAGGAAGCATGTTCCATAGTACCTGTAGAGATATTTGGATGAGTATGACAGTCCAAAGTGGATTAACAAGCTAAAATGCATGGCTCACTTTGTCAACAGCGGTGAAATGTGCTTTGATTTAAATGGCTACCCTGAATTACCTGGAATTATCATCTCGTTTCTATGGGATGGACAGTTGGTGTGGTGACTATCTTACAAATTGGCACATTTCAATGGTTACTCTTGCAAACTCATATGAGTAATCTTGACTTCCATGAGTAGCTCCATTAGAGTTAATGGGTCTCATGAGAGTAAGGACTCTTTACACAATTAAGGGTTTGCAGAGTCAGGCCCTAGCAAAGCAGTGGACTTGGGTTTCTAGACCCTTCACCACTCATTAGGAAATGAGTAGAGACTAGACAGGATAATTTGGAGAGACTAGGTACAGAATGTCTTCTTAGGCAAGGTGACCCACAGATTGCAAGTTGTTTTTGATGAGCTAGTTGTTGGCCCTTTCAGTGGGGGAACAAGAATGAGGACTAGAGAAGGATGCTGGACAGAATGTATTTCTCATGACCTGCTAGTACTGCAAAGAGGCACTGATTTCTGAACTCTGGGGTGGATACATTTCCAACATCAAGCAGTAGGATGGACTTGCATCTCAATATTTTCTACAACTAGCTCTAGCTGCAATTTTAATTTTGATGACATTTCTCTTCAGTAAATATCCCAGCCAAGGCTTTCAAAAGTAACTAGTGATTTTAGCCACTTCAATTTTTGTTTGCTCAGCTGGAGCTCCTTAAAGGAACCTGATTTTCACAAGGTACATGCTCAGCACTCTCTGAAAGTCAGGCCCCTTTAAGATGTCTCTAGTTGAGCACCCAAAAATTAAGGCATCCAAAGTCACCAGTCCCACAAAAAAATTTGGATTAATTTCAGGCTGATGCAAGAATAGTCTTCTCTTCAGTACCCAGTTCCCTCCCCCCCCGCAAAAAAAGGCCATTAAATTATATAGATTACATAATCTGATTTGAGGATATATGATTCTACTGAATATCTTACAGGAGCTATGCAAAATATCTTAAGATCACATTAAATTGTCAAATCTATATTATACATCTCTATGTAATGTTAAGATATACTAGAAACTATGGGTGAAATCCACCCTTGTGCAGTGGGCCCGCATGAAGCCTCTGTACCACTCTAGTCCCAGTTAAACTTTCCCTAATAGTTCCCTATGCTGGGCTTCTGAGCATGGGTGAATTTCAACCCGTCTGAGCAGGGTGTGCTGTGACATTGCGCCAATATTCTGTTATGCTGTTGCTTGCACATTAGCTGGTGAGGCAAGCCTATGTGAGACAGTAAACTCACCAGTTTCCCACCCAGCCACTGAGTCAGATGTATCCTGTCAGCCTGAGGGGAGAGGGAAAAGAAATTGTCTAGTAGTGGTGTTTGCAATATTGACAGAGGGAGAGAGCACAAGATAGTCTAGTGGTTTGATCTTGGGACTGTTAATTGGAAACCCCTGTGGCCCAATCATCATTTCAAAACCCAGTTCCTACTCTCTTTGTAGTTTTGGGCAAGACACATCTCCTGTCTCAATTTCCCCATCTGCAAAACATGTCCTATATAACTTACCTCACAGGGCTGTTGTGCAGGTAAGGAGCCAACTGCTCCAGTTGTGTTCAGTACTGTTTCAAAAGTGCTTTGAAGATTAAAAGAGCCATATAAGTGCTCTATATTGTCATAATTTCTTTCTGGATTTCATTTGAGGGGGTCCTGTGGCACCTTTAAGACTAACAGATGTATTGGAGCATAAGCTTTCGTGGGTGAATACCCACTTCATCAGATGCGTCTGACAAAGTGGGTATTCACCCACGAAAGCTTATGCTCCAATACAGCTGTTAGTCTTAAAGGTGCCACAGGACTCTCTGTTGCTTTTTACAGATCCAGACTAACACGGCTACCCCTCTGATATTTGAGGGGGGGAATCTCTCTAAAATGAGTTCCATTTTTCTCAGATCCTCTCCAGCTAAAGAAACTGTCCTAGGGACTCCCTTTCTGTTTTACAAGCAAAGACAAACACATTTCAACTCAGGGAAAGGGAGAAGTAACAAAATGCAGGGAATTTTAGCTAGCCACAAACAACATGGAATAGCTTCAGATGTTCCAGGAAGTAGCAAAGGTGAGATCAGACACCACTCACTTCACAACAACACACTTTAGAGTTCTTAAAAAAATAGCCTCTAGATGTCTCCAGGAAAATAGTCATTCAAAGGGGGACTCATTCCACCACATTTCTATACCTGGCTGTGGTGAGAAGTTCAGGCATGGGGGAAGACACCGATGAGGTGGTATTTCCTTTAGGCTCCAGAAAGAGTACTCACCATGCAAGTAGTGCTTTGCCAAGTACAAGGCTGGAGCCTGCAGTTCTGACTCGGACAAAAGGACTGCACGGTTCAGGGGCAGAGTTTGATTCACAAACTGCATGATCCAAGCCCTTTTGAAGATAATGGGAAAGACTCCCATTGACTTCAATGGGCTTTGGGTCAATCCCACATTCAGATAGAAAGATGATGCAGCTGAGCTACTAGTCCCCCAAAACTCCCTCCAATATAAACAAAAGGACATTGTGACCCCCTTTATAGACATACATTAGTAGCTGAAATGGTCTGAAATGCTTACAGATTAGAACAGATATATTTATACAACACCATGCTTTCCAAAAAATCCAAGTAGAAAAGTTTTACAGCACATTATACAGGTCCTTCTAACGTCTATAAAACATTTACTAAAATCACCATATTACAAGTCATCACTAACATACAGTACTATGCTAGTTCTTTTTTCTTTTATATAATCGTTACTTATAATAATAATAATAATAATTAAAAAATCATTTTAAACAAGTATACAATGTTCACTTTAAAATTAACTGGTTAATAAATTTTGTGCAAAACAAGCAGCCTCTATAATTAAGTGAAGTATTTATTTATTTTATTTATTTATTTATACAAAAAGTAACACACACAAAAAGAGAGTTCTTTCAGAAATGTGTCTCCTTTTCTGTGATGGCTGAAATGTTGCCATCGCCTTTCAGTTTGGCATCACAATCATTTACTGTAGCAGCATATCCCCCTGCTCCAAGCTTCCCTCTCATCTTCAGATCGGGGCTAGGTACGACCAGCTTCCTGAATTTCTGAAACATTGGAGAAAATGGAAGACATTATCTCTCTCTCAGACAGAAACATACACGCATGCAGCCAGAATCATCATCATCTCCTCATAGCAGGAATATCTATGGAATCTCTCTTCTCTGCAGGCCCATTTCATTCCACTGGAACCCTGTGGGAGCCACTTAATTGGTGTAACAAGCTGCACATCACACCGCTCCCTTCCACAGCATTCCAATCCAAGGGCTTGAACATGAAAGCAAACCCTCATATGCTTGACCAAAAGCTTAGTTTCACAATAGATGCAGGGCGATATTCATTCCTCTGCAGAGGTGAGCACAAAGACTAGGGCTCCACTTATGCAGGTGAATTTGATGCAATCCAGCCAGACGCAGTGAGAAAAGTATTAAATCAGATATGCAAGAGCCTTTCATAGGGGGTCTGAATATAGAACTGAAGCTACAGTTGCAAATTGTACCTGTGCTTACCTAAAAATATCCTTGCTTTAAGAAATAAGTTCCACAGATCGGTTACAATGGTACTTCAGCCTGCTTGCTGCTTTGGGACAGAGTCAGACCTGTCACTCATTGGCAGCAGAGGAATGCCCTGCCTCCTGAAGTTGCCTCCAGGTGAGATAGCTTCCACAGCCAGGAGAATTCCAATCTCTTTACTGAATTACCGATAGTGCTAAATATACTTTGAGGAAAAGCACAACAATTTCTCCTAATGCAAAGCATGATAAATTGCACCTAATGATATGTCAATTTCCATCTCTTTTCTGGATGATCCATTTGTTTCCAGGGTGGGCCAGATCAGTGGATTTTATTACTCAAAGAAAGGACATTTTTCAGGTTGGCATGGATAAATTTTGCTATTTTGCATGCTAAGGTCCCCAGATCCATTACAATCTGATTTCATTCAGTATGGCTCCAGGGAGGGAAGCAGGATTATTCTATAAATATAGGCATCTGAGACGAGATGGATTATATATAACTTTCCTCCATCTTCCCCTAAGCACTAAGCTGTGGCGGAGACTTCTGCCACCAAAAAAAAAAAATAAAATAAAGGAAATGATATTGGCTAAGATTGGATGACCAATACACAGAATTCAGTGAACTGATGACCATCTAATAGATCTCAGTACAGGAGACATGACTTCTTTGCCCTGAGATTGTCAGTGCTCTTAAGGACTGGACTTTGATGCTTAACCAAAGGAGGAATATTTCTTGAATTCACTTAGGAAATGAATGCTACGACAGTTACGAAGACTAGCTGTCTGAATTAAAGAACAATGCTGGGTCAGTCTTGTTAGTGATAGTTCCCAACTTCAAATAAAAAGAGTAGCTATTGGAGGCCTACTCTAATAGATGAGAAGTATAACACCACCTTCTGCTTGGTAAAATCTGGATAGTGCTGTAAGGAGGAGAATGGGGTTCCTTGATCATGCTCTATGATCTTGCAGGGTTAGAATAAGGCTGATGCCTTAAAGAAGCATTTAATGCAGGATTGGTACAGAGCCACCTTTACTTGAACATACTGAGAACATTATTCTGGGATTATCCCCAGGCTGCGCTCCGTGCGGGCGAGCAGGGACCCGGGC